GATGTGCGAATCAGGTCCTGTTTTCTCTGTTTTCTCTTCCTAAAGGGAGGGAGAGGTCTCGTAGACCATCTCTCAGTGGCCGTAGGCTATGTTTCGTGGTCGTAGGTCATTTTTCCCGTTTGGAGCCTAGTTTTCGGTTTTTGGAGCCATCGGCCGTGTCCCTCAGTTCGGGACCGCTTAACTACCTCCGTTTGCTCCGATTTTTGGCACACACCTTATTTCCTCCTTTTAGAGGGACACTGTGGCCCAGGAGACCACTTTCGTGGTCATACGCCACTTCCGGTGCCTAACAGCCTGTTTTTGGGGCCCCGGACTGCGCTTTTTGGCCCCCGAACCCTTGTTTTGCATCTGTCTTGGTCCATTTTTGGTAGGGACCCTATTTTCATTGTTAGGGAGGTGGTAGTATGGTGGGAGGCCACCTTTTCCCCTTGGAAACCAATTTTCTCTTTTTCTCTTTCCTAAAGCCGATTTTTCTAACAGAAAGCTGGTTTTTCTAACTTTTGAGCCACAATTTCTAGCTTTTCATACCACCATTGTGTTGTGCTCATCTGGGAGGCCACCAATATGGGTAGACTGACCAGTAATTCTTCTTGACCCTTTTGAACCTTGCTAAAAAGCTGGTTTTTCTCTCTCGTGGGTCACATTTTCTGGTTTTCCACCATACAGCTGTGTTGCACTCATCTGGGAGGCCACCTTTTTGGGGTGGCCAGCCAGCATTTCTCCTTGAACCTTTTGACCCCTGGTCGGCCGACCAGGGGGAGTGGCCGGCCGGCCACTTGAACTGGTCGGCCTGCTTCTTGCTTTTTGCTCTCTCTAAATGCAATCCAGGTGTGCCAGCTGGGAGGCATTTGGACCATCCTCCATACACGTGTATGAAGGATATTTGAGGCTTCTTAAAGAAGCTTTAGAGCCTCTCCTTTATAGAGGAGAGTCTTGTCTTCATTTGTAAGGGTTCAACAAGTTTGTTAGAGGCATACACACACTTCCCTTCATAGCTCACTATTCCAAGCTCCAAACCCTATTTTTCTTGCACCATTTGCACACCAACCCTTGGTACAACACCTCCATCATCCATCCAAGCATCTTGGAGCTGATTTTCAGAGGTTAAGGAGCTCCCATCGTGGTCCAGAAGTTGCTGAAAACCTGCTCTTTAAGGGTAAGTCTCCATTTTCCTTTTTCTTGCATTATTTTGTTCCATTAATTAGCCTTATTTGTAAGCATTTCTGGACTTTGTCATAAACTGTAAAGTGCCTTATTTTGAGCTCCTCTTGAAGTTTGATTAAGGATACTTTTTTGTTTGAGGTCTCCTACATCCTTGTATGCTTTATCTCTCTTTTAGGGCTTATTTTGCATGATGTCTTAGCCTTACTTACAAGAATTTTCGAGATGTTACATGAACTAAAAAAGGTCTTATTTTGAGCCCCTCTTGAAGTTTGATTAAGGGAAATTTTATGTTTGGGGTCATCTACCCCCTTTCATGCTTTATTCTCCCATGTTTTGAGCTATGCATGTGAGCATTTGCATTGGCCTTGGTTTGACCTCTTAGCCACTGAAATCCAGCGGGGGTGACCCCCTCTCTCCTTGTCTTGTTTGTTGGCCCTTTTGGCCTTCCAAAGGGCCCCTTACTTGCATGTTGTGAAGTCACTTTTTAGGCCCAATTTGGTAAGTTTCAAGGTCTGCCTTAGCTCTGTCTGGAGCCTCTTTGACCATATTTTATGTCTATAATGCATGTGTAGAACAATTCCATTCAAGGCCTCTCAAAGGGGCCTTTCATTGCGCGTTTCCTATAACATTGACTGTGAGTTTTAAGCCCACTAGATAGTGGCAAAACTATCTTAGGGTTGTCATAATTGATTTCCAGAGTTGGTTTTGCCATGTTAAGTGTTCTTGTTGTATGTGTTGAGTAACCCCTTGCATGGCCCCCCAAAGGAGCTCATCATTTTTGCATACATTGGATGCATTTCAGTGGTTATTTGGGGTTTATTTGATATATCATGTTCCTATTTTTGGCTGGTTTGGTGACCTCTCTTCTGCTTCATGTACATGCCATGTAAACCATGCTTACTAGCCTAGGTTGCGTGTTGTTTTAGCCCCTCATGTTAGCATATTTTGGCTATTCCTTAAACTGATAATGTGCTTATTTTGGACTGCCCTAGCTCTGTTTTTGGGTCTTGTGTTTGAATGATGTTAGTTTTGCATGCTTGTAGTTTAAGGTCAATGCTTAGCTTTGAATTTTGAGATCCATTCCATGCATATACTGAGGTATTTTCATGCCTTGGGGTCATTTTTCATTAAATTTCAAAGATTATATGAATGCTATATTGCCATGTTTTACACTCCTTAAATGTGTTTGAGAGTCGGGCTTGTATGCCTCACTTGCCGACCATTGAATGAACTTCATTTCGTTGCATTCCGAGCCATCATTTTAGGCCATTTCCCCACTGTTTCAGACCTGCCTAGGGTCTGTTAGGGGTTGGTTTTGCCTTTGGTGCATTGCTTTGGGTACCTCTAGTGTAACGTACTTCACTAGTTTCGGTACCCGAGCCCCCTAGCTTGCATTGTGTGCCATATTTGCATGTTTCGGGACCATATTTCATGTTGTTTTAGAGCTGTAATTTATGCTATTCCATGTCATGTTTCATCCTTGCCATGCTTTGGTAGAGTGGCATTCCATGCCTTAGGTTCGGTCCTTGGTATTCGTGCATGTATGCACACATTTCGGTTGTCTCATTTTCATCTAATGGCCACTGATGTGAGTGTGGTTGAGGTCTACTCATGTTGGTGTAAGTCCATCATGCATTATGTATGCCATTTTAGTCCATAGCCTTTATGTATGCTAGGTTGCATGTTAGAGCATTGTGTATGCCATGTTACATCGAACATTGTGTATGCCATTTCATAGCATTGCGTATGCTAGGTTGTATGTTAGTCGCATTGTGTATGTCATCTCATTTGCATTGTGCTTGGGATAGGAGTTAGCCCAAGCACGGGAAACGAGGGACGTTTCGTACTCCGAGTGACGAAACGTGTCTCAATTCCCGGTTGCCGACACTCCGTATTACCCATGATGGAGTTTAGGTCTTGTTGTGTTTATATGTGCATTCATTTCACATCGAGTCGTGCAATTCGACTCCTCAACCATCATGCATCGAGATGCGTGATTGGTGGCACGAGGATCGAGGACTACACTCCCTGAAAAGTAGTCATGCATACATATGTGAAAATACTTTGCTGTGCCCCTTTCTTGCTCTCTGTTGCAGCAAATCAGAAATCAGTAGCTTTCTAAAGCCTTACACAGTATTCCGGCATTAATTGCAAACAGAGGCAAATCGGGGCATCGCAATGGATTTTCGCGCAAGGCAACTCGAGCATGCATCTTTCATCATTCGGAACAGAGCTGAGGCGGTCCACAGATTTGCATGCTAATTTACTTGCTTTCCTAGTTAAATTGTTAATTAATTAGGGTTTTGTACTTATTCGGACTGTATTATTTATTCGGACCCTCCGAGCGAGGGTACAACTGTAATAAGTGTGTGTGTGTGTGATGTATGTCTTCTAACCCCACGTATTTCTCCCTTTTATTTAACAGCTTATGATGGTTAGATTAGGGCATGTTTCAATTAGCATACATACAGAAAAAAAAAAAAAAACAAGCAAACAAACAGAACCAGAGGAAAAGAAAGAGGGGAAGAAAAAGATGGGTTCGTCGGTCTCGCCACCAATGGCAAGGTTTATGAAGAAAAACAAAGGTTCAAAATCTCTATGAAAGATTTGAGATCTAAAATCAAGGAGAAGAGGAAATTTTTTTGACTATTTGTTCTTCTTTTTCAATTCTCAGTTCCTTTTTTCAAACCATTAAAACTTTTTCTTTGCTACAAATTAACTAACACTTTAAGTGCCCCCTTTTTCACACCTTTAAGTTGCCCATTTTTTACATTGAATCCAGATCTCTCTCTGCTCAAAATGCATAAAAACAAACTTGTAATTTTTTTACTTTACTAACCTTCAATTTTCAAATTCAAATTTGACAAATACAAACAAACATCAAATAGAAGAAAGAGAAAGAGAGAGAGAAAGAATCAAGTAGGGGGTTGTGGGAGGAGATCGGGCAGTGGAGAATCAGAGGAGGAGACGCCGGAGAATCGGACGGCGGAGAGAGAGAGAGAGAAAAAGAAACAGGTAAATATGGATGTTCAAAGTAATATGTATGTATGTATATATATACATATATATCAGATTCTTCTTTGTTCTTCGCCTCTTTCTCTTCCTCTGGTTCTGCATATTATATATATATATATACATTTTAAATTTCGTCCCAAAACGACGTTGTTTTAGCGCATCGCAGGAACAACGGTAGGGTAACACGTAGGACTGTGCAAAATACCGCATAATCCGCTAAAATCGCACAAATCCGCACCGCTCTAACCACTAATCGCGGTTTAAACTTTAAAATTTATAATTCACTAATCGAACCGCCTTGCTCCGCTATAGTTAATACATACATATTTTCTAATTTTCAATGAAATATCAATGCAAAAATGAGTGTGAAAGAGATTTAAGATATGAAATTTATTACAAATTAGTGGTTATATATATGGAACATATTATATAAAATTACTTTGTGTTATATATATATATAATATTATGTAAATTAATTTTATATATTATGTAAATACTTGATAATTATTTAAGATTATTCCTTAATCAACTAACCAATTGAAACAATCCAAACCACCCAAATTGTTATTTGTCAACCTCACGATTTGATTTATAAGTTTGCACTCACACCACACTAAAATTGCACAGTGCACATTTTCTTATGAGAGTGTTTGGTGAAGATTATTTTAAATTAAAATTAATAAGTAAAAACCAAAAACCAAAAATATATATTTTTTATTTTTTAAAGAATTAAAATTTTTATTAATTTATTTAAACTATTTCTACTTAATAACAAACTAGCACAAAATATCAAATTAAAATAACTATAAATTGCCTCTATAATCGGCACCGAACGCCCGCTGTGAAACCGCTGTCGTTTGCCGGGCTGTGCTTTGCAGCAGTGATAGATAGAGAGAGAGAGTAGAGATAGATAGATAGATAGATAGATAGAGAGAGAGAGCAAAGAAAAAGTCATGGTTACGGTATAGAAAGGGACTCACAATTGCGACACAAAAATGGTTGAACTCGAAGAACTAGGGCCTCCTCTTCCGCCGCCGCAGGCATCATCTGATGCTGCCCCTCCGCCGCAGCCCGCACCCCCTCCCCGATTCGATCCCAGCCGCAGTAATTCCCTTCTCTGCTCTTTTTAGGGTTTGGATTCTGTCTCTGCGCATTATTTCTGATATATATATATATATATACCTATTTGATTATAGCCTTTGTTGTATCAACAATTTTGAATTGAGTGAAAATTTGATCAAAAACTTGTTTGAAATATTAATAATTTATTCTAAAAACCTGTTTATGAGCATTTTACGTGAAAGAAAACGATCTCCAAGTCTTACTTTTTTTTTAAGTTATATCAAATTTGGGTAAAAATATGATTGTTGGGAATTTTCGGTCATACTTGATTTGGTGAAGAAATTGCAGCTCCCTTGATTTGATACAGATTTGATGAAATGGTTAAAGCACACTTTTAACCTTTTTTTTTCATCCATTTTGAATTTGATGAAAAATTTGATAAAGGATTGGAGATGCTCTTAGGGGCTATTTCTAATTTGCTCTCAAGATTCATCTTTTTAATTTTTGATTTGTGCTTTCTATTTCTTATTAGTGATTATGAGATTTTTATGGTTTAATGTAACCCTGTTTTGTGAGATTACTAGTGTAGTGTCTACCAATTGAAAACCATAGTATGCAATTGGGAATGAGAGCCAATTGGTAAATCCTGTCGTTCAGCCTTTAGGAGTAATTCAGGGACTTGATTTGTTTGAACTCTTTGAAGTATGTTTTTGCCATTTGAAATTTGAGATAAAAGACATTGAAAACATATTTTTCAGTCCATGTGATTGTTTGTTTTAAAAGAATGAAATATATCACAAACGTAAGAAAATTAAGGTTTCAAGAAATGTGAAAGAAAATAAAAGATGGAAACGTAATGAAGAAAAAAGTGATTGTGGTTATTGTGGTTGGTGATGAGTGATGGCTTGGGTTAAAGAAAGAAAACAAAGTGAAAAAAATGAAGAAGATGGTCATGGCTATGGTGGAGGAGGTTGGATCTTTAAAAAAGAAAAAGAAAATTGGTTTATGAGTTGTGATGAATGAAGGTGGTGATGGGTGGTAGGTTTGGCTTAGAAAGAAAAAAAATGAAGGAAAAAAAGTAGTGGTAATTATTTATGGGAATGTGGGTTAGAGAGGAAGTAAATAAAGGTGGTGATGGTTACTGTGGAAGAAGTGGATTAGAGATACAAGAGATAGAAAAAATGAAAAAGAGGGTTATGGTGGGTTTGAGTTAGATAAAGAAAGTAGAGAGAGAGAGAGAGAGAGAGAGAGAGAGAAGTAAAGAAAAAGGTGGTGGCAGTGGTTATGATAGGGGATGGTGATTATGGGCAGTTACAATGAAGGAAGGTGATAGTGGATGATGGGTTTGAGTTAGATAGTGAAAGTAAAGTGAGATAAGAAATTGAGTTTAGTTTATGGATTCATCCAATTCGTTTGCATTGAATGGTAGAAGGTAATATTAAAACACTTTTCCTTACTTGTGCAATGCACATAAATTTTTCATTAGTTACTATTGGATTGGAGGGAGTGACCAAATTGAAATACAACTGAAACTATAGAGTTTTTGTATATTAAAATATTGAAAATATGGGATCAAATTGGAAACTATCTGAAACTATAGAGACCATTGGTGTAATTTACACTATAATATGCTTGGTTACACATTCCATAGTCTTGTAAACATAGAAGTCTATGGTAGATTCTTTTTTAACTATGAGCGATCATCTCATATATGAGTCTTGCCAACAAGTGCCCTTGGGGCACAAGAAAAAAACAAAAAGATTAAAGCACACGAGACACTTTTCACTGAAATTAATGCATATTTTGTAAAAATCAATACACTTTTTGACATTTTCACCTATTTTCAAGGCACTTTCTATACTCATCCCAATATTAAACAATCCACCTAGGGCATTCTTTAGCATTTTCTGTATAATATGTGTACATACCAGCCTCTTGGAACATGTAATGCTGCATAACTGCTAGGAAGATGTGGAAGTATTAGAAACTATCTTTAAATTTAAAAATTGTGAGCAATTTTGTTGATGAGTTTGCACTCTTAGCCTTCAAAGGCTACGGAAGAACTCTTTTAAACAGTAAAAAATAACTTTTTTAGGGGGACAATTTTGGAATAGAAACAAGCATTATCCTGCTTCACTTATGGGTTCAAATTAACTTGGGTGTTCCTTTTATAATATAGTATAGCTGGTTAGTGAATTTAGAACTACCCACCCCAAAAAAAGAAGAAGAAAGAAATAAAGAAAAAAACTAATGCATGCTTTTTAAATCTTAAATATTTCTTGAGGTTTGTTGGATGGCCATGGGGTTTTTCATTAGCTTATTTATGTACATTCTTTTACTGTAGAAAAGATGGGTACAAACACGTGACACAATACATACATGCTAATAATACAATTTTCAACAATGAGGACACAGTACTTTAGGAACATAGCAACAAATAAATATAAATATTTTTTATGCATAAAAATTAAATAGCATCTTTATTTTTTTTATTGTAAATATATTTACATTTTATTTTATTTTATCAAAATAGTAAACAATCCTTTTTCACATTCTATATATTGTAAAGTAAGTGTAAAAAGAAAGAAAAAAAAAATCCATCTAATCTTGGAAAGCTTAATTCACAAAAGTTTTTAGGATTGACAACCCTACAAGAGAAGAAATTAATAGGTATAATTCCACATTATTTTGATCTTAAGCATTTGCTTCCAAGTTGTTTTCTGCAAATTTGTATTATATTTTGTGACTTTAAACGATGGATATGCATGTCCCCCAAATGTCCAAACGATGGGAGTTCTAAAAATATTAAAAGAATAATAAAACATGTTTGGATGTGCGGTGCTGGGATCTGTCTGACGAGTGTTGTCAGTGTCTGACACATGTTTGACATATACACAACACCTTCTTAAAAGCATTTGTGCTTCATATCTTTCACTATGTGATGACTTTCAGAAATGTTTTTCTTGTGTTGATTGGCTAAATTTTTGGCATGGAAGCTAATATTTTTTAGTTTGTCTAATTGGGAACTATTTGTTCATACATGTTTGCTTAGACGTACTCACCCTTTCTCTCTTTGTTTGCTTGAAGTGATTGGTATTATCAGAAGGAAGGCCTTGATAAAAGACTTAGCTGCTGTATACCATGCAGAGTGCCTTGCATACTGTCAAGAACTGTTGGAACTCCAAAGAAAGTGGGAAGAGGTAAGAAATAGTGGCATAATATTTTAGTTCTGAAATTCTCATTTCTCTTGCACAACCTTGGGCTTTGTAAAATAAATGAGATCTATATTTATTCGTTTGGGTGATTTTATTTATTTCTAATTAAATTATTACACCTCGTGCTGCTTAGTGTAATTTATAATTACCACTCCGGAATGTAAATTTTAATTAAATAATGAAGATCATCCAGTGATTTTCTTTTTGATCTTCTAGTTTCTCTGTTTGAGTAGGGCCCTATTTCATGATTGGATGATCTTATCTATCTGCTCTCATTTTGTTGATTATGATCTTAATGATCTTTTATTAGATCGTGGATTATAACTATCTATCTGGTAATATTCTCACTAACAATGATATTTGCTAATCAAGAAGTGATACACAGCATACACCAGCATAATTCATATTTGGAATCTGTTTTCAACTGAATAGTTTGTGTGGCTTTATACTTTGGTCATTGTTTGCTAGTAGAGTGAATCATCCTCTTTGTACTGATACTGAGTCTCCAAAGTGTTTGCAGCCACATACAAACACAAAAACTCCGGAGGATTCAAGGAAAGAAACGATGAGGCCCCCCAAACGCTTGAAGAAATCTTGCTAGGCATCAATTTTCATGTAAGATTTGCACCTTTATTTGTTTGTGTAGTTAAAAATTAAAAATTTGTGAAAGATTTTTTTCTTCTTCTTCTTTTTTTTTTGGGTGAATAACTCTGTTCTTCTTCTTTGTTTATGATATAAATGCTGTAAATTGGTCGTCATATTGGTAATCTTTAAGATTTGTCTAAAATATATTTTAGGTTTCAAATAGCATATGGTTCATTATGCTACAGTTTGCTTGGGATTGAAAGCTGATCAATAATACACCTTTAGGGAGAACAGCTGGTGCACTTTGTACACTAGGGTTTTAAATACCGGCTGATAAGTTTTGAGATTTTAGACTTCCGATATTGATATCAGCTGATATATATGAGCGTATTTTGATTCTGCTACGTATCTGATACCGTTTTTTAAAACTATGCTTTGTACCCCCTTTTATTTGGACGGATGGCGGATGGCGGATGGGATGTCGCCCGATCCATGATCCCCATCCGCCATCTGTCTAAAAATAGAAAAATAAAGGATGTCACCTGAACTTCGAAACCATACATCCTTTATTTTTCTTTCCATTGGTTCGTAGTTTATTACTTGCACATTTGAACTGTAGCTTCATGAAGTTAGTATTTATCTATTGTTTCACCATGTCTCTTTATAGATGTGGCGATGCCTTCAGTATTTTATTGAAATCCCTACGGCTGGATAAAATGCATATTCTCAAGCACCCAAGAGTTGAAGAGACTGGTTGGAGCCAACAGATAGGATGAATCTGAAATTAGTATTAGTTAATACAGGATCATTATTGTGGGTAAGCATCACAATAACTCACAATGTGTATAAATTTGTGGTGTGGAAGTGTGTCAATCTTTTCCTTTTGTTTGTTGGGACATTCTACTTGTGTATCATCCAATGCATTTTGTTTAAATTGATCAGGAATTAGAACAGTTGGTTTTGAAATCTACTGGTTTTTACTTCCTATACTTCTTCGCTAGTAGGATTTGTTTTCCTAGTCATCAACCTTAGCTCTTTTGCTGCACCGAGATAGTTTGTGTGTTAAGGAATTGAAAGGCATTTTCTGGATGTGTAGTGTTGTTGTTTGTGTATTATCCATGTTGGGGGTTTTGAATTTTAGACTATCAATAGACCTGAATAGTTCATTATGATAGCAGGGTTTGGAGGAACAAGAAAGGAAATGGGAGGGATTATTTATTTATTTTTTTCCAATACATGGGAAAGAAAAATGGGAGGGATTTGAGTATATCCTTTGTTCGAGTGTTTAACTGGAGAGCAAGGCAAAACACAGAGGTCTTAGTTAAACCCTACTTGGTGCATCTTCATCCGAAGAAGATTGAAGAGAAAAGATGATGCAAATTATAGGTGCAGAGCTTCACATAATGAATACTCAACCTTATAACCAACAACCAAAACATGTTTTTGAGAATAGAGATTTTGTATGTCTGTGTTATTATGGGCAAGCTCATGAACGGAATGGGGAAAGGGTTTAAATGGTTGGTTTTGATGAGTTGACAGATTTTTAGCACAAGGCATAGCAATGTCAAATTTTTAATAAAGGTGATAACATTCACATAAGAGCAATGCTAAGAAATCTATTTTGAATATGATGAATTCTACACGTGTGTATACAATATGTTTGTTGTGTGAATTTACATTTACATAAGAAGTTTTTTTTTTTTTTTTTTTTTCTTTTATTTTTTTTTTGGGGGGTGGGGGGTTACTAGATAATGTGGATTTGCAAAAACATTTTTGTTAACACAACTCTCTTTATTGATTGATTTTTTTAAAACAATCAATTTTATTTAAAATAGTTAATCTTGGTGAAAGAACCAATCAAAAACTAGTGTTAAATTGGTGGCGGCTGGCACATATTGGCTCGAAAGAGTTGGGTAAGATGTTACAAGAGGGTCAGCTTTGTGATGGCCCAAGAAACCAAGTGTGCATTTTCAATGTGGAATGAAATGCACGTAAACAAACAATGAGCTCAACCTCTATCATACTCAAGTCAAGAGGCCAAGCATGCATGCCAATGCAATGCACCCTAGGCATTTGAGCTAGTATGCAACATGGTGATGCAAACAAGCAAGCAATGAACAAGCATGCAAGCTAGTGGACATGCAAGACATGATGCAATCAAAGCATGCAAAGTGTAAGACATGTAACAACATGTAAAGAGTGGACTTAAACTAATTTGGAAAGCCCTATACTAGGCCCAAAACAGTGGCCAAATGCCATGGAAATGAAGGCTAAGACGCACACAATCATGCATGCGCACAAGGTCCAACACTTAGGCGCCAAAGAGCAACTTTTAAGCACACTTAAAAGATGATAAACATGGATACATGGCATGCATAGAAAGCTCTGAAATCATGTTATAGAAGGTGCAAAACCAAGTAAACAAGACAAGCCAAGCATGCAACAATGGTCTAAAACTCAAGGCAAGCCAAGGGGGATTACATGGTAGCTATTCAAAGCAAAGCATGGATGACCCGAATGACCCAAAATAGATCTTAAGCATGTTAAAACATGCCCAAAAACTTCACAAAGCTAAGCCAAAATATGCAAGCATGGTGGTCCAAAGGCAAGATGCTTTTCTAGGCAAAATAGAGGAATACAAAGCAAGTGTATGATGCATGCCAAGGGTCAACAAACCAACATAGGACAGAGGTAAAACATGCTAAATAAACACCAAATACCCACTGAAATAGAGCCAACACATGTTAGAATGAGGTGCTCCTTTGGAAGGCCATGCAAGGGGTTATTATACACATGCAAGAGGGACACTCAATATGACCAAAAAAACTCTGGAAATGGCTTATGGGGGTCCTAAAACCCACTAAAAAATGCCTGAACCGAGCTCAAGAAGTGTGCAAATATAGGCCCCTTTGTAAGGCCAAAAAGGGCAACAAACAAGGCAACAAAGGAGAGGGTCACCCCTCTCCTTCTTAGGACCTCAAACCACCATCCTCACCACTAAAATCCCTCAAGATTTCAGTGGTGAGGAGGCCCAAACAAGGTGGTCCCGGAGCTCACTAAAAATGCTCAAAAATGAGGCCAAACAAGGCCTAAGAAGGGGTAGACAACCCCAAACATAAAAGTGTTCTTAAACAAACTTGAAAAGGAGTTAAAAACAAGACTTTTTCCAGTTATACACTAAGCTCAAAACAGAAAGAAAGATAGGCTAAAAGTGTGTGCAAAAATGGGGAAACTAAAGCAAAGAAGTTACCCTTGAAGAACCTTTGATGAACAACAAGGTTAGACCTCTTCTTGTGATCAAAACCAGCTTAAAACTCCAAGAACAAACCCTCAAGGCCTCTCAAGTCGAAGTGTGGTGTAATGGTGTGTGTGTTGGTGCAATACTATGGTCAAAACACACTTTAAGGCTCTTAAACACACACAAAGGATGAGAGAGAGGGAGATATATAGAGAGAGGGTGTATATATATCAGATATATATGCCCTAGGTCTGGTTTTTGCTGAACCAAAACAATGGAGAAGGAGGCTTTCTTATATAGGCCAAGGGAAGGGCTTGAAGCTTATAAGACAAGCTAAAAAGAAAGGGTCAAGGGGGGCGAAGGGGGCAAGGCTTATTAAGGAAGCCAAGCTGGAGGTGCAAGCTTCTTGAGGAAGCCAAGACAAGGGATCAAAGCTTCCTCAAGAAGCCTTGAGCAAAGGGTGCAAAAAGAGGGGTCAAAGGTGGTCAAAGGTGCAAAATAGCCACATATATGCACGGGGAGCAGGGTCTGTGCATCCCAGCTGGCACAGCTGGCATGCACCATGCTTGAGGGATGAAAAAGGGGCATATCGGCCATGAAAGGAGGTCATCGGCCAAATAAATGGCCAGTCGGCACAAAAAGTGGCCGGCCTGCTATTTGTTCTGGCCGGTCGGCTAAATGGATGGCCGATAGGTGTCTTTCAAGGTCAAAAAGTGGCCGGTTGGTGTCCAGATGGAAGCCCCAGAAGTTAGCTTTCCAATGCCGCAAACGTTGCTTTAAAATTCCTCCTGTGCAAAAAGTTATGCCCTTTTTAGTGAAGCTGCGCAGATTCGATCCAACCGGGATGATGCCCAACTTTAACTGATTATATCTCCCCCACCCGGACCTGGCTTTAGGATATTCTTGAGTGCAAAATGAAGCCCCGGAAGTAAGCTTTCCAAAGGTAGTGGCCTCATAGCTAAAATCCAAGTATGCAAATGAATAAGCCCGATTCAGCGAGGGCTGCTCAACTCTCTCTTACCCGGATTCATGCCGAACTTCTCCTAAACTAGTTTTCTCCTCTCCTTTCCTCTTTTCTTCAACTCCAAACCCCTAAACAAAGTGTTTTGAAGGATTTGCCTCTCTCCTTGCCGAAGAAACTGAACATTTGCCCTGCACACCTTTCTCCGCCAAGCAAAACATCAGTGGTGCCCAAGTCTTAAGGGCGGTCAAAAATGGGGTGTCTACAGTTGCATTCTGCTATTTTATTTTATTGGATTAGTAGGCTTTGTTATTTAAATATTTGAAATAACGTTAAAAAACAAATGAATAAAATAATTGTGAATGGAAAAGTGCCCAATTTGGTAGAATTTTACAAGTCTATCCACTATAATTCGGACACGCATGAATGGATTTCATCAGAGAGCCAAGCTAATTATATATGTACAAGGCAATGCATATTAATTTTGATAAAATTATTTAGTTTCTTTGTAGGGTAAAATAACTAATAATTGTTCGATTTATTTTAAATTAACAAGACAACATGATACAGACGCAAGCAGAACACCTCTCACAGACTAGTGTAATCCCTTTGAGCCCAGAGGAGTTGTCAGTCAAGGTGCTCAAGCCAAGGTCAGGTTATGTGAAAGGACTCGGCTTGAGACCTTCTTCTTCTATGAAGACTATTGTTGCACCTGCTAAAAATAGTGACTATGTTCAATGCCTTGAGATGCAAATAGCACAGCAAAATGAACAAATTGCAAGGTTTCAAAAGTCAGAGAAGAAACAAAGCAAGAAGATACAAAGTATCATAGAGTGTTTGACGCAAAAAAGGTATCACGTGAAATTTTGAGAGTGGGGAAAGTTCAGATTCTGATGGACAAGCTTCTTGGTTAGTATATTATGTTTATATGTTAATTTAGTAGAACATTTCTTCTTCAACTAGGGTAGAATAAAAAACTACTTTTGACATTTAGGCACAAGGTCCCGGGAAAATAGTGAAATATGCATCTAAAGGCCCGAAAAACATCACAAACACCTTGAGATTATCAGAAATTATCACGAACACTTTGGGAGGAATCAACATAAGTTGTGAAAACTTACAGAACAATCATAGGACTCTCGGTTGGAAAACATTTAGGCTTGAAAATAGGCCGTTAGGGAGGCTATGGGTGTTGATTGGGCGTCGCACTACTATGGCCTACACCTGTTTTGCTGCTATATGATAGAATGATTAACTCCATCATTGAGGTAGACCTTAAGCAAATAGGTGGGTGTTATACAATAAGTACGTGCACTGAACAGGATCGGTTTTAAGAACACCTATGGAATGATCACTATCAGTTTAAAAGGTAGTTCTATTACAATACACTTATTTTCCTTTGACCTGAGAGGCTTATATAAATTAATTATCTATTCATTTAACTTTGACATTGTCAATCGGTGACGCCGAATCAAAGGCTATACACGGACACGTTGGGTTATGTGAATGGTAATTAATTTATATAGGTGCTTAACATGGAATCCACCATTCTCAAGTGAGAAAGTATATTCAAGCAATTTTTCCTATTAACATTGGACCAAAAGAAAACTGGCCGGTTGCTTTTTCGTAAAAATATTTTATACATATATAATTGTAAAAATACTATTTTTGAAAAATGCTTTTAGGGTCCAATTAGAAGAAAGAAAAATTTAGAATTCGGTTACATGAGTTAGGGCTTTTGATAGTGATAATTTTGTCCATACCTAATAGCTCATGTGGAATATAGTTTGGTGGAAGGAAATTTGTGATTAATTGTAAGAAAGGGCCTCATTTGTAATTTTCTACTTTTAGGGGTTTAATTATAATGTGTTGATGGACATTATTGCAATTAGTGGAAGTTCTATATTATCTGTTTAAAAGATAATTAATGAAACATTGGATATGTTGTTTCCTGTATATTTAAAATAAAAGATACATCTTTTATTTTATCCCTACAACTAAAAGATAGAGATCCCTAAGGATCCCACCTACATGCAAACTCTATCATGTGTTGTATATATATATCAGATGTATTTGATATAAAAATTGGCCATCAGAATTTTTAAGGTCTGTAGAAAATATATACACAAAATAAATCAAAGAGGGTGCAAGGTGAATTACTTTGGAGGCGAGACACTTGGATCGCTTGGTGAGGTATTATCAACAACTCACTTGGAGAAGGTATTTTAGATTGTGTAATCAGGTAGTGTTTCTTTGAAAAGTGTTTTACAAAATAAATTATTTTTCCGCAAAACCCATCCATTTTCTCCAAATTCCACCTTCAAAACCTACCCACCATCAAAACTTTGAAAACCTTTAGGCGACAATATTCCGACGGTAACAGTGACAACTATTTGATTACATACACTCCTCCGACAATGACAATGAGTGAAAGTTTTTTCGATAATCACAACTCCATGAGATGAAAGGGGTACAACCATAAAAGCTCAAAAAAAGTTTATAACTTTGATGGTATTCTTAGCTCAGAGAAAATTAGCCTTGTAAGAATAAGTTTCTTAAAAAAAAATGACAAAAATAATAAAAAATATTCTTCATTTTTTCAGGACTAAACTCCTGAACATATGATCGAAATTTGATAACACAGGTTCGACCATTATTTATTTGTTCAAGAATAGGTAACCGAACATTTCTATTTATTCAGAAACAGATAACCGGAGTAGCAGTAGAAGTAGGCAAACAAAAGAGGTCGGACCACCCTTGGGTAGTCAACCGACCGGTTGACCGGGAGGTGAAATCTTGCCCAATTTTGCTCACACAGAGAGTGTACAAATACAGTAAGGCCATGAATGAATCACAAAAAATAAACCAAAGAAGTATCAAAGTAGATTGTGTTGTGTGTGTGAAAAAATGTAATAGAAGAAAAAATCAAACAGATTAACAAATCTCGTAACGAAACAGAGAAAAACTTCTTAATCACCACAATATTTTTCCACCGATTTTGGGAGGTTCCACTGTCGTATGTTTTGTCAGGGTTTAGAGAGACTTTTTATAGTGTGGGGGTGTGCATTTGAATGTGTGGAATGTTTTCACAAAAATAATTTTGATATTATTTGAGAGGAGAAATTTTTTTTTAAGGATTTTAGAATTTATAAGTGGAAGTTCAAAAAAATAAGAGGTCCAAAATAATTAATGGGGTACTAATAGCAACGCTCTTAAATGTTTCCTCATAGAGTGGTACTATTAGCACCCCATGAATTATTTTTGACTCACATTTCTTTAAACCCCCACTTATAAATTTTGAAACTCTCAAAAATTATTTTCCCTCCCTCAAATAATACCAAAATTATCCTTGTGAAAACTTTTCACCCATTGAATGCACACCCCCACACCCCAAAAAAGTATTTTTCCAAAAAATCCTAACAAACTCCACCAAGAAGAAAAAGAGTCAATGTGATTACTATCTCTGCTGCCTTATCCATTATTGTCACAGTTGGTATGCTCTCTCTCTCTCTCTCTCTCTCTCTCTATATATATATATATATATATACACACACACACACATAATTTCTTGGTTTTCTCATAATAATTTCTTTTCTTATAGGAAAAAAAATTTATAATAATTGGTTTTATTGGTAGATATTATAAAATTATGAGTTCAGCAGAGAACTACATAGCAATATTATCAAAGCTACGCGATGAAGGAATTACTTTTGAACCTAAAAATGGATTTGGGCTACTTTCGATAACTTCTGCAAGTGTTAAAAATTTTGACTATTCAATGTATTAAGAAATTTCCATGTTCGGACTTGCATTTCTGAACATTACTTATTTGTTCGGGAATGCCTTCTCGAACAAATAAGTAATATTCAAGCCTGTATTTTCGAACTTGAAAAAATGAAAACTTCTATAAGCGTTAACAATTTTGACCGTTCAATGTATTAAGAAATTTTCATGTTCAGACTTGCATTCTCGAACATTACTTATCTGTTCGGGAATGCCTTCTCGAACAAATAAGTAATATTTAGGCCTGTATTTTCGAACTTGAAAAAATGAAAACTTCTACAAGCGTTAACAATTTTGACCGTTCAATGTATTAAGAAATTTTCATGTTCGGATTTACATTCTTGAACATTACTTATTTGTTCGGGAATGCCATTTCGAACAACTAAGTAATGTTTGGACGTGCATTCCTAAACAAATAAACTATGTTGCCACTAAAGAGTTTTCAAGATTTTGAGAGTAGGTAAGTTTTGAAGGTGGGATTTGGGAAAGATAGATTGGTGGTGATGGAGGTGGGTGCTCTTATAAATCCTAATTCATGATGTAGTGGGTGTGTAGATTTAATTGTGAGATGTCGTGTAATTAATGATGTCATTTTTAATAATTTTATTTGAAGTTATTATTGTAATAAAAAAAAGTTCAAAACTGAGAGGTCCAAAATAATTTATCGGGTGTTGAGCATCTCCAACCCACTAGGCATATAATGCTTGTTAGTCAAAATGTCTAATGTGACTCACTTTTTTCAACTCCAATGCACTAGGCATATAATTAGGCATTTTGGCTCAGCTCACATTCACTAGCTACATGTAGTTAGCCTTCAAGGCTAGGCAAAATGTATTTAATCATTATGATTATTTTCCTCCATCTTTGTTGTTGACGTGACATTCTATAAACTTAATAGTACTTGGATGAATAGTTAAAATAAAGAGTATGATTGGAGTAGAAACATGAAACAGTTGATAGGTAAAATAAAATATATACTTTATAATAATGTTTAGATAGATAAAATGCTTACTACCGTTAGAGATGCTCTAATAGCAGCACTCTTCCTCATAATGCGGTACAAAGACTAAAATGTCCTTGTGACACCATGGATAAAAAAAAAAAAAAAAAAAATTCCAGTATCAGCTCTAGAATATTGTACGGACAATTACATTCCATGATTTTATACTGTCCCATCCATATCTCTCTCTCTCTCTCTCTCTCTCTCTGCATGGCTCATGTCATGAACTCATCATGCCTCAAAGAACTCATCATGCCTCAAAGGACAAACAACAACCCACCAAAATAATTATAAATAAATATAAGAAACATGGAAGAAAATATCAAAAATTCTAGAATTAAAATTGTCATAAAGTAGGCATGAACCAAAAATAAATAAATAAATAACTCTGGAATGGGTACAAATCGTACTATTTTGACCCTTTTTTTTTTTTTGAAAGGTTTGATTATAATTTTGAGTAATCAAAAATCGTTGATTATAATTTAATTAATGTATTGAAATTCGAAATAATCAAATTAGTCTGTTTTTTTAATTATTTTTAGTAAATAAACTAAAAAGAATTAAGATGTAAACTAACCTTAAAATAGACAAGCGAACTAAGTTATTCCAATCAATTTATACAATTAATATATTTGCTTCCCACATATATATTACCTTAAGTTTCTTTATTTTTGACAAATAATATTAATTACTGAATTTATATATTGCTATTTCCATTGCAATTATTTAAGTTCAAGTTTCTACTCTATTCTATTACTATTATTTGATCTTTTACTGATTGATAATGTCGTTAATGATAATTTTTATTTATTTATTTATTTTTTTGGGGGGGGAGGGGGGGGGGGGGTGGAGGGGGGAATAATAGCTTAGAAATTTAAAAGCTAATTGAATTTTCTGATTTTGTAAATTCAATGGTCCAATTCTAGTTTTAGTTTTTAAGTTTTCAAAATGTTTGATTGATCAATCCGATCTATGAACGTCCTATCAAAAAGAAAAATGAAAAGAACATATCATTTCCGAACAATTATAGTAAAAGAGTGATTTGAGATTCATTACAAACATAACTACATAAACATCTACATAAATATTTGAAATTATCATCAACTATGCAGAAATAGAACTTACTTAGAACCTACTTTCATTTTTGCGTTACAAACACTAAAAACAATAAATAGTCATTGAAATACAATTTATAGTTCAAAAACCATTTTTTTAACTACATTCTACATATAGTCAGTCATATCAGAGATTATATTTCATATATGCTTAGAAATTTTCCATGCAACCAAACACCTTTTTCTCTCTCTCTAAAAACACAATCCTGTCACCCTTCTCCCCTTGTCCCCTCCGTACCTTCTACGAACCCACTCTATATATTCATATACCTATATCTATATCTATATATATGTATATATAATGTAATTTGAAGGCATATTCCGGCAATGGGTTGGTGGTGGTGGTGGGTCAGATGTTGCGGTGGTGGTGGGTCAGATCGCCGCCCTCAGAGCCAGAGAGCTCCGGCGTCTTTGAGGAGAGGGACTAGGGTTCCGTTGATGTGACAAGCCATGACGGTTTCAATCCCACCCAAGAACTTGCCGCCGACGAACACCGCCGGAAAGGGTTGCTGCTGGTGGGTGTCGCCGCCGGCGAGGTGGCGGAGGACGGCGTGGATCTCACGGCCGGCGGCCTTGTCGTGGAGCTCAACGATTGTGGGTCCAACACCGAGGCCAAAGAGGAGTTGCTTGACCACGTGGCACATGCAGCAACCGTTGATGGTAAAGACCACCACGGCGTTGCCGGAGGCTAGGTGGCGGATCTGATCGTAGGTTGACTCCGCCGTCGTCTTCGACTCCGTGGCTTCGCCCCCGCCGGCGCCGACCTCCATTTGAATTGGTGTTGATCGTTTGGCTACTTGCATTGTTTGAATGTTGATGGACTCTTGTTTAGAGAGAGAGAGAGAGAGAGAGAGAGAGAAAGAATGGGGGGTTGGGAGTTTGGCGAGGAGAGGGTTTTAAGTGTTTTTTGAGTGTGGTTTTTCTAGGGTTTTTATAGGATACTAATGGCATGGCATGGATTACGGGATAAGAATATTGAACATGCCAAACACACAAATAATAAGTTTGGCTACTTGCATTGTTTGAATGTTGATGGACTCTTGTAGAGAGAGAGAGAGAGAGAGAGAGAGAGAAAGAATGGGGGGTTGGGAGTTTGGCGAGGAGAGGGTTTTAAGTGTTTTTTGAGTGTGGTTTTTCTAGGGTTTTTATAGGATGCTAATGGCATGGCATGGATTAGTGGATAAGAATATTGAACATGCCAAACACACAAATAATAAGGATTGACCCAATGGATAGGTTTTTGTGACCTTTTTATTTCTAATTGATTTTTTAATATAAATATTCTATTTGTAAATTATTTTTCAAAAAAAAATTATTCTTTGAGACTATCTTTTAACAGAATCACCAACCAAAATGACATGATGGTGACATTTTCGTATAATACATGTCGTTCGGTTTTAAAGTGATAAACTTACAAATCAACACATCTTTAAAATGATTTAAATAAATATATTTATTAATTTTTCATAAAAGAATGTATAAAAAAATAAAGAACTGACGTGATCTAAATAAGTGTATTTATTTAATTTATGTTAAATTGTGCCTTCATGTACGACAAATGCTAATATGTTGACATATTGTTTACTATTTAAATATCAATTAGTCTAAAACCTCGTTTGGGAACATTATATTTTAGTTTAAAAGTCAAAAAGTCATTAAAAAAAATCAAAAAGCTAACAACATATATCAAAAAGTCAAAGATTTCATTTTTTCTTTACTTTTTGCACTTCTTTTCGTAAAATATAATAAAATTACTAAAAAAATATGTTCCCAAATGAGGCTTAAGTCCTCGTTTAGGAATAGTTAATTTAGTCTAATTTTTATTTTTTTGTTATTAATTTGATAATTAGAAGTAAAATAATTATGATTTAGATGTAATATTTTATGTTATTAACTATTTGATATGTTTTATCTTTCAAAAATGCTAGAGGTCTCAAAAGTTTTAGCAAATGTCTCATATGGGTGTGGGATCCACATGAGACCCACATGTGTGGGTCACACACCCATATGAAACATTTGGTAGAATTTTTAGAGTTTCTAACATCACTTTTTATCTTTATTAACTAATTTGACCAAAATATCTCATTTAGATTAATACAAGAGATCATAATAAAGCCAAAACAAAGAGGCAATAATAATATTCTTGCAAAGTAAGACCAATCGTCTCCTAGGGTTTGCATACGTTTTAAAAAATACAATAAGTAGAGAGAGAGAGAGAGAGATAGATAGATAGAGAGAGAGAACATCAGAGGTTGTAAGTAATAAATGGTTGATGTCTACACAAGCATAAACGGCTGCTTTTCTTTCTTTCCCTCCTAAAAAAAAAAAAAATTGGGAATTTTGAAACGTACACACGAAATGTACCAACGTAATTTTTATTAGTTAAAATAATAAAATTTAATACTTTTGTCTAATTTTTAAAAAATAACATGACAAATGTCATAGGTAAAATGGTGTGAAATATTACTCGAAAATCACCAAATAATTGCTCTTCTGTTCCATATAACTCCTAATCGAGAAGTTATTTAGTGGTCTTGAGATACGGTCACGTGGTGTTCCAAAAGTGTTCTGATTAATAAAAAAGGTTAGACTCATGATTTATATTAAGTGATTGAGGAATAACAAAAGATAAAATATATGGTGATTAATGAAAAATATAAACACGTGATGTCTTAGGAGTACTAAATAATTTTTTGTCCAAGTCATCCAACTTTATAGGCATGGCATGCCTTCTTATATATTCATTATACATATAGAGAGAGTGTGTGCGAACACTCAATAAAATTGGTCTATGTATTTCATTTTTTTTTATCCTTTTTTCAAATTATTATTTTGTAATTCGGTGACATTGTTGGAAAAGAAAAAAAAAGGAAAAATTACTCAATCATTGTAACTTTGTCTTTTGCATTAATTTTGAAATTTTTTTCCACTCAATTTGTTTCTAAATTTTTTTATATTGTGCCAATTTAATCTAATATTTTACATATCAAAAAATTAGATAGAAATTGTAAATATGAGCGACATGTTTCTTATTACATGAGCAAAATTGTAAAGTCACCAATGAGTTCATTTTTTCAACAATTCTGGTGATACATGCAACGGTTGTTGTCATTGTGATGGTGGTGATGGAGTTGAAGTAGAGGAGGTGGGTTTAAACGAGATCTGTTAGATGTAATGTAACCCTCTTAAATTTGTTTATGAATTTAAACGGATTTAATTAAACAGTTTTTAAATAGGTTTAGTTGGACAATTTCATAATTATGAGTTGAGTTTTTTCATCTCTGAATGCAATTTCATAATAAAAATTTCTAAACACATATAATTTGATCATAAAATTAAACATAGCTATCTCAAATGTGGCGAGATCCATAAGATGAATAAATCACACCTCAAATATGAAAGAGTTATCTTCAGTTCTCTGATTGAATCTGTATACCTACGTTGTGGATCTCTATTACATTATTCAATAATTATTAAGGCCTCGTTTGGAAACATGTTTTTTTAGTAACTTTTTGACTTTTTGGCTAAAATGTGAAGTAAAAAAAACTAGTATGTGTGGGATGACATTTTGACTTTTTACGAAAAGATGTGCAAAAAGTAAAGAGAAAATGGAATCTTTGACTTTTTAGTATAGGTTGTTGGTTTTTTTATTTTTTTAGTGACTTTATAGCTTTTTGTCTAAAAAAGCCATTTGTCAGCCTAAATAACCATATCAACAGTTCTATTAATTTTAGTTAAAAATAAATACCACAAGAAAAAACACCTTTGGCGACTAAACTTTTAGTCGCCAAAAGTCCTTTTTTAGTCCCAAATGTCGAATTTTCACTTTCTCCGATTAAATATTTTAGTCGCCGGTTTTGTCGCGAATACATGGTCGCGGATACCTTTGGCGACTAAAAAACTGTTAGTCGGCAATATACAGGTCTTCAGCGACCAAAGAAATTGTCGCCAATAGTCAATTTCATTTTTGGAAATTATACATTTAGCGACTAAACTTTTAGTCGCCAATAGTGAATTTTTTTTTTATTATTTATACATTTGCCGACTAAACTTTTCGTCGCCAATAGCCAATCTTCCGGCGACCACAGACTTTAGTTGCCAAAAGCATTTTTCAGGAAATAAAATAAAATTTGCCTCTATTGTTCCCAAGTTTTGAACCACCAACCTCCCAACATTCTCAACCTTTACCAACACTCTCTCCCCACTACGCCACTACAACATCACATGAATATTAATGCAACATATATTATTTATATACTATATTGACCGGTATTAATACAAAACTACATATATATAAATAATTATTTTATTTAATAATATTTTATGTAAAAATAAATTATTTACTAAAAAAATAGGATAGCACTTTTGGCGACTAAATCTGAATTTTAGTCGCCAATTCTATATTTTTGGCTACTAATTTCTTTTTGTCGCCAAAAGAATTAAATCCCGCCTAAGGATAGCACTTTTGGCGACTAAACTGAATTTTAGTCACCACAAACCTCTACTTTGGGCGACTAAACTGCATTTCAGTCGGCAATTCTTGACTTTTAGCTACTAAATTTTTTTTAGTAGCCAAAAAGCTTCACTTTTGGCTACGAAATTGATTTTTGTCGGTAAAACACGTATAATCGGCGACCAAACTATTTTTTAGTCGCCAAAACCTATACTTTGGCTACTAAATATTTTTAGTCGCCAAACCTTCACTTTTGGCTACTAAAATTTTTTTAGTCACTAAACCCCTATATTCGGTGACTAAACTGACTTTTAGTCGCCAAAACCCCTACATTTGGCTACTAAACTGTTTTACTTTTGGCGACTAATTGAATTTTAGTCGCCAATTCTGCTACTTTCAGCGATGAAAAATCCATTTTTAGTCGCGAAATCTGCTTTTTCTTGTAGTGAAAGAAGAAATTAACAATAAAAAAATCTCAAAATTTGATCTCAATAATAAATCAACTCTAACTTTTTAATTATTTCAATTTAACTCTTAAATTTTAAAAGTTTAGAATTTAAATTAAATAATTAATTCTTTACTTTTACTTTTTTGAAAGATAAATTTACGTAATTATCTCACAACCATGAAGAGTAAAATAAGGTAAATTATAATGATCTCCCCTAGCATAATTAAATCGGTTCACTTATTTCATTTTTTATCAATAATTTATTAGTTATATGGATAAAAAAAATAATATTATTATCTCTTTTACATTAAAATGTATTTATTTATTTATTTTATATAATCCTTATATCCATTTAGCAATGCTAAAATGGAGAGTCAATATAATTATTTACAAAAATTATAAAATCTATTTTTTTTTTTAAATTAGAAAAAATTCAGTCTAATTTACCCAATAAATAAATAACAGTAATACTATAAATTTAGATTTAACTATTTAGAAATTATCTAAAATTATTATGTTGTTGTTCAAATTTATCCATATATATGGATCTCATACTGCCAAATTTAATTCTCACTATATTACTATCCATCCAAAAAAATCTGAATTGGTTGTCGTTTGACAAAAACCATTTTAGTTAGCTTTTTGGAGTTCAGACTTTTTTAATAGGGACTAAAAAGTTCGTTTATGTTGATTTTTTTTTTTTTTGACTTTCGTAAGTAAAAAAATAAAATAATTATGATTTAGACGTAATATTTTATCTATTAATTTTTTAACTTATTTTATTTTAGTGACTAATTTAATTTCAATCTAACCCAACCCGCATAGCCAAACAAAGCCTTCATAAGTCCTGGATTATTTATTATTGACAAGATAGAGATTTTCCAAGCACAAGCAAGGAAGAGGGAGGGAATATTTTCCCGGAGTCCAAACAGGTTGCATGGGGT